GCAGCTTCGTCCTGCCCCCCCCAATTCCTTCTTCTCTACCACACTGCTCCTGTCTTGGCTGGGGACCCTGTTCTCCCCTGCCTCGCAGTCTCTGCATGCTGTTCCCTCTGCCCAGTACAAGTGGTCATGTTAATCATCGTAGTAGCTCATATGTGGCATTTACTGTGTCCCAGGTCCTGTTCTAGAATGTTAGGAATGTGAGCTCATTTAGACCTCGCACCTTACAAGTGATCATAAGGACCATGTGTTGGCGTTCTATAGAACCGAGCTTTGGAGGAACCTACTGGCCGAAGGCTCTAAAATCACTAAGTGGTAAGTCCGATCTGAAAGGCACATGTTTGAATATAGTCCCCTCCTCAGACAGGGCTCTGGCAGGCTAGGAAGTCATGACGCCGGACACTTCCAGGCTCTGTCTCCCATCAGACTCTGGCTCGGCTCCCACGCTCCTCCTGGCTGAGCGTCCTGGGCCTCGGCAGCCCCCAAGCCTTCTGAGTGTGCATCCCGCCACCAAGGCGCACCGGGCGGGGCTGGGGAGACGCCCGGGCTCCAGCAAACGCACTGGTCTGTGGACAGGTGGCCTGCTGTCATTCCTAGGATTCCCAGATAGTCTCCGCTGCTGGTGCCATCAGATCAGATGCACCTGGGAATGCCACCTGCTGAGCCTGGGCCCTCCAGCACCCGAGGTTCTGAAGCAGAAAATTGGTTCATGTCCTGTGCGCCTCAGCCCTCTCTGCACTGCGAACTGTCTCCCTCGCGGGCTCTGCTTGATGACGCTTTCCTCCAGCAATGTGCTGGCGAGCTGGCAGACCTCCTGCTGCTCCTGGGTGTCCATGCTGCCTGCCTCCCCCCTTCCCAGACGCCTCGTCCCCAGGAGGATGATGGCCAAGGAGGTATCTTCCACCCAGGACGCTCTTTCGGCTAGCTCATCCCTCCGCCTCCAGGCATGACTAGCAAGGACCACACTTAGCCAGATGGCTGTCCATTCTCCTCCAGACCTCGGGGGAAGGAGGCTCCCCCATCTCCATGGGCAACCCTGGATCTCTGACAGCAAGTTCTTTCACTTTTCAGGCTTGGTCTCAGGTGATGACATGCCCTGCAGGGCAGCAGCTGTGACTAATCCTGTGTTTGAGACCCTGCTTCGTGCCTCGCCCGAGCCTGTGATGTAGAACTGCCGGGCAGGAAAGGCGCTCTGGGAGGGCGCAGGGAGGTTCCATCTGTGAGGCTCTCCCAGGGTGGCAAGGGACGGGTACTGGGAATGCACAGGCAGGTGGGGCTGGAATGGCCCCGGGAGACCCCCCCGGGGAGCCTTGAGAGCTTGAGGACCAGGGCTCAGCAGCCGGGTGGGGCAGCTGCAGCTGGGCACGGTGAAGGGCAAGGGCTTTGAGGTCGGAGAGACCTGGTTCAAATCCCTGCCCAGCCACTTAGCAGCTGGGTGGCCCCTCCGGCCTCGTGCTTTCATTTGTAAAATGGAGGTCATTCTAGCACCTACCTTGCTGATCTGTGGGGCACAAAAGAAACACGGGTAGGTAGAAAGGCCCTCTAGAAGAGCTGGCTACCTTATATGTGTACTGCACTTCGTCCTCCCCGCTTTACAGGTGAGGCGCCTGGAGCGTGGAGGGGCCTGTGCGGGAGGCTAGACCAGGGCCGAGGCCTCAGGGCCAAAGCCCGGGCTCCTTTCCCTAGCACTGCTGGCTCACTGTTAGGGCGCACACCAGTATGCCAGAGGGCCCGACTGTCCCTTGCAAAGCCACCCCGCCTGCCTACCCTGGACTCCTACTGTTTCGGCAGCTCCTTCCTCCCACCACCTCCCCTCCCACCCCCAGAGCAGGAGGCTCTGGGGAGACGGCGCCTCCTGGGGAGATACTAAAGCCTGACTGAGCCGTGCAGATGCAGCACGTGACTTAGCAGGGAAGGCCGTGAGGAGCCTCACACAGAGAGAGGAACACATGTCCCACCCTTTATCAGCATGGATGGGGTCACACGGCCTCCCGTGGGAAAGAAGAAGGGCCATTTCCTCCAAGCAGAAATCTCTGAGCACAGACCTGGGTGGCATCATCAATGCTACCATGTGGTCAAACCCACGCCACCAAACTGAGCTCCTTAGCCTCTGTGAGCAAGGCAGTGGGAAGAGATCACTAAATCCCCACAGACCCAGAACTCCCTAAGCCATCCACCCCCTGAACAGAGGCCCATGGGACCCCATTCCGCCATCACACCGGCGATCAGAGGCTCTGGATTCTGGCTGGGTGCACTTGGCCCCCACAGTCCTCACATGGGACAGAGGGAGGAACTCCCAGAGTCAACGAAGTGGGGGTATAGGGGGCAGAAAGAGACAGCCAGCCATCCCCAGACTCACAAAAGCAAAGCTCTGTCGCCCTGGAGCCAAGTCCGGCTATCTGTGTGTACAGACAGGAGGTTTCCCCAGAGCTCTGGTGAGGATACCAGCGTGGTGGTGCCTTGAGGAGACGTGGGGCTTCGCCTGCCGTGGGATGTGAGCTCGGTGGCCCCCAGGAAGGGCCAGCCAGGCTCCCCAGGGCCTGCCCCAGCCGACGGAGTCCAAGCATGGCAGGATCCCCTTCAGTAGCCAGGAGCCGGGCCACCACACGGCTGTCAGGCTGTCTGCCAGCCTGAGTATTTTTAGGGTGTCCTTTTTGTGCCCAAATCTGAAATGTCTGGATATTTTTTCCTAATGGTGGTTTCAGTTCCTCATGTATCTAATATTCATTCAAAATGATTCATGGAAAAATGCCTCAGCTACCAATTTTTTTGTGCCACAGACAGCGTGGATGTTAAATAATGAGATATCTACACACACGCGCGCGCGCGCTGAAGCTCAGCTACTGAAGCTCAGCTACTACGATCATGTCCAGACAACAACCCAGGTCATACAGAAACCCCGCTGCTGTGTTGTAGAGCACTGGGAGCCGGGAATTCTCCCAGGAGGAAGGCCAGAGGGCAGACACCGAGACAGCCAAGGGGTTCTGGGCATGACGGCTACAGAGGAGCACCTCCCTGGCCTGCCCCGCGGCCAACGGCCACGGTCACAGCCAGAGGGCCAAGCGGCCCAGGCCAGGGCAGTGGGCCCAAAGAAGGCTCCTCATCTTCTCCCAGACACCTTTGCTTGGATGATCGGGCCCCGCCTAGCACCCTTGGGACCTCACCAAACAACCAGCGAGTCCCCTCGCCCACCCTTCACGGGTTTTCCTTGCCCTTTCTCCCACCCAGCCAACTCTGGAAACCACAGCAATTTCTCCACAAAGCAGAAACAGCTGCGGCTTAGGGCCTCTGCTCTGGTTCCACCTTCCTGCCGGGCGCTTCCTTCAGGAAGCCTGGAGCCTCCCCCTGCTGCCTTCTTGCTCGGGGTCAGGCCCAGAGTGACTTACCTGGGCCCTGCAGCCGCTGTCCATCTCCAAGATGATCTAATAATGACACTGGTTATCATCAAGCAGCGGCAGCCTTTACTGGGAACCTACTACGTGTGTGTCCCTGGGCCACGGCTGCTTTAGGTCTCCTCACAGTCCTGCACATGTACTGGTTGTGAACAGAGCCTCTGTGGCCTTGGCAAGTTATCAAATCTCTGCCTCCACTTCCTTATCTGTCAAATGGGGCTATGAAGCACACGCATTTCCTGTGGGTACACATGCCAAGTGCTCAGCACGGTGCCTAGCGCCTAGTAAGCGCTCAGGAAATGTTGACCCTCACGATTCAGTCCTTACAACTGCTTCATTACCACCTCCCTGTTTATAGCAGAGGAGGTGGAGGCTCAGGGAAGTCTGAAACCTTGCACAAAGTTCTCAAGGTCCATGAACGCTGTTTGTGCCCAGACCCCTTGACTCCTGGGCCACGGCATTCCCAGCCTGCAACGTTTGCCATGTGTCCACAGGATTTCCCAAATTTTCACGATGGCCGTTTTGAATGAGCTGTGGTGCACCGCACCTTTGTTTTCTGTGACCGTGGGGGCAACAGAGAAGCGGGCCTGGCCGGGGAGCAGGCGTGAGGACCGCAAAGTTGATGAGACCCAGTGCCTCTCCAAGGCGGCAAGCCAGCTGGGGTGGGGGCCTGGGAAAGCAGTAGCCTTCGCTCTTCGAGGCTGTAGGCCTTCTTCCTCCACCATGTGGTACAGAGCCCCTCAGGCTCGTTCCCTCTCCGGGACCTGCGGAGCGCGGGAATGCGTGCCGATGGTGCTTTCTAAACCAAGGGCGTGTCTTCCTTACTTCCAGGACCTTTAAGCATGCAACTCTTGAGCCCCTGGACAGACCCTGCTGGATGGCCATGTTAGCCACGAGGCGAGGCTCATGCTAGCATATATGATGTTCTGGGCAAATTATTAAAAAGCATCCTCTCTAGGGAGAAAAATTTTAAAAGGCAGCAGCCCTCTGAGTAAGACCAACTAGAAAAGGTACCTGGTCTTTAGGCTGACATGACCCTGTGTTTGTCTCCCACTCGTGCCCCTCACTGGGTCCCCTTGTGCAGTGCAAAACCTTCACATCTGTTCTTAGCAGCCCTGCTCCCAGCCGGGGAAGGGTTAGGATCCTGTAGAGAGAGCAGCAGGCCTGGGTCCTGGGGCTCTTCAACCACTAACCTGCCAGAGCCACAATGCTCTCGTCCGTAACCTGAGTGGACGGGGCAGGGCAGAGCAGGCCTTAGATCCCCACCGACAATGAGAATGGTGGCATGGCCACGATCACAGGAGGTGACGGCTACCATCGAAGGAGGGCCTGCTCCCACCCCGACGCTGTCCTGAGCGCTTTTCCCCAGGGCCCTCACTCGCTCAGTTCTCACTAGCACCTTTCCCGGCAGCTGTGAATACCTGCTTTTATCAAAGGGGCGACTGAATGTCAGCGAGCCCAGGAAGTGACTGTTAGAGCTGGAGCGCCCGAGACAGAAGCCAAAATCCATTCTGAGCCTCGATGACCCCAGGCCACCCCTGCCCAGGGTGAATAGCATGACCGCATGCCAGGGCCAGGCCACCCGCTGAGCAGCCCCAGGGAGACCCCTACCGTTCGTTGTTCAGCGCCATCCTCGGGGGGTCCAGGTTGGGGTTCTCCATGGACTCCATCTGTGGACAGCGCAGGAAGTAGTAGAGCGTGTGGAGGGCGTCGGGGGACCAGGTGATGGGCTGGGGCGGCTGGCGGGCCTGGCGGGCGGGGCTGGAGCCCGGGCAGAGCGGGCGGCGCCCCTGCATGTGGTGCATGGCGCGGGACACCAGGTCACCTGCGGGGAGGGCGGAAGAGAAAAGAAGTCTGAGTTCACCAGCCCCATCCTTCCAAGGCTCCTGTGGCTCCCCTGGCCGTGGCGTGGAATTACTGTTTCCCCCGGAGCCAGCAGGCAGAGGTGGAGACTGTCACCTGAGACACACACCAGCAATTTCGTCTTCCTTTCCCTGCCAGGCTCGCCCGAACAGCCGCGCTACAGACTTGGCAGGGTTGGTCTCCTTCAGAACTTATGCTAATGTGGTTTCTCTTTTAACACCCCCACTCCCTCCACGACCCCGTGGGCCTTTCCCCAGCCCTTTGACCCAGGGAGCCCTGGCCTCTGACACGCAGCGCCAGGCTGTGCGGTGGCCTTTCCCTGGGCCATCCTGCCCAAAGCCCAGGCACCTCCACAGGGCAGGTCCCTCCATCTCCAACACATCGGGTTAGATGACCGTGGTCACTGGCCCTGTGTGCTCAGTGTGTGCTGAGTGTTTGGTTTCCAGAAATGGGCTCTCATTTGATCCTTTTAACACTGGAGCCCAGTATTATCCCCATTTTACAGGTGAAGAAATTGAGGCTTATCTGGTAAACAAACACTTAACTGACCCCCTAACGTTTCCCTAGTCACAGGGAGGCCAAGGTGCACAGAGCTTAACCAGCCAAGGTCCTGTGGCTAGTAAATGGTAGGGTCTAGATTTGAATGCAGGCATGAACTGAACTGTGACCCAGGCCTGACCCACTGAAGTCTGTGGGGTCCTCAGGTCCCCATATCCTGCACGGTGTTACTGCCCAAGTCAAGTCTTTTCAATATCCCACTGGCCTGGGACAGGAAATGTCCCATCATTGTGTGAGGCCACAATGCTGAGAAAGGATGGGCCACAGAGCCCCAGGCATCTGTGGGCTCCTCTGTTCTGGGAAGAGTGGCACCCTTCCATTCTCCTCAGGCCTGAGAACTGAGGGGGGCCTTGCCTGGGGCCAGCTCCCCCCCGCCCCCTCGCCATGGCAGTTCCTTAGAGATAGCCCCTTCCAGAGAAAGCCTCTGGACAAGGCTGGCCCTAAGGTGAAAGAAAAGAGCTGGTTTTAATCTGGTGAAGGGCATTCAGTGAGTGGCAGAACCAGGTCATTTATTCAATTGACCTTCATGATACAGCCTCCGTGAGTCTGGTTCTCTGCTCCCCTGCGTCCCTAGCACCCTGCCCGGGGTCTCCTGCATGATAGGCGCCCCCCCCCCAACATTTACAGAATCATGAAATAGCCTTACACATCCATTTCATTTCATTTTAAAATACAGCTTCTGGTGGGGCTTGACTTGAGCCCATTAGCGGCCAAGTTCTCCTAGGACAGCCTCAGCGACGATGTCTGGCTTCCGAGCAGGGAAAATGACATCCCTGGAGTTGGAGATCTCCACTAGGAAAGAGACCTCCATGCCCCGCTCCCCTTCGTCTCTCCACACCTGACTCTGCTCGTCCTTGTGACTGTAGCTCGGCTGCCTGGGTACCTCGTGACTTACGGACACCTGGCTCCCATCCCCAAGACTGATTTAATTGGTCTGGGCATCCTCTTTTGTAGAAGTTCCCTTGGTGAATCTCATGTGCAGTGAGGTTACGCAATCACCAGGTGAATAGACGAGAGCCCAGATTCCAGAGTCAGCCACGCCTGGCTTCCAATCAGGGCTCTGCTCTTTCCAACCATAAGCCTTACAGAAGTTTCTCATCAGAGCCTCCATCTCCTCATCTGTAAAATGGAATCTATCTAACCTCAAAATTGTGAGGATTCAAGTAAATAAGTGTAAAACACACAACATCGTGCTTGGCAGGGTACTTGGTAAAGATGAACTAGAACACCATTATCATTAATGCCCTATTACTATTACTCCTCTATCCTCCAGGCCATCTTCCACGCTGCTCTTCCTTCCAGGATTCTTTTCCAGGCAGTCAAGCCTTGACCCACATTTCCCAGGATGCGAGGAGTCTGAGCCCTGAGATGCCGGGTCCCAGCCCTGCCCTCGGGCTCCTGGGTGGCAGAAACGGGCATCGACAACCCCCAGACCAAGCCACCTCACGCCAGCTAGTTGTAGAGCTAAGTTAGCCGCAATCAGCTGAAACGTGGCTTCCATTTCTCCAGGTCAAAATGTCGTAACTTTCGGCAGCGTCACAGGACCACAAGGAGGAGAAGTCAGAGGGCCCCTGGTAGCATCAAAGAGAGACCCTGTGCAAACACTTCAAAGGCTTGACAAGGGAGAAGCCACTATCATTAATTATGTTTATGATTGCTTTATTGTTATTGGTGTAGAACCCTCTGGCAGCACTTACCAGCCAGAATCAAGGAAGAAATAGAAGCGACTCTTAAGCATTCCCTAAAAGGAAGCGGAGTACAAAGAGAGGCCTTCCAAAGATTTGGGGGTGGGGCGGGGGGGGGGGGGGGAGGACCACAAAGGCAGCAGAATGGCTACTGGAGATGCATGCAGGTCCCCAGCTTCTCCGCTCCAGGCCCAGCTGCATGCCATCAGTCTCTCAGAGACCAAGAAGCAGATGCCTACAAACAACTCTGATCACTCATCCAAAAACCCACACCGCTCGGCAGTCCTCCTTTAGGGCCAAAGTCAACCGCTCGCCTTGGGTATTCTCCCCAGGGCGGGGATCTTCCTCCCTGCCACCTCATATTTTCTAGGCTCAAGAGATGGGAAAAGTAGACTAGATCTCATCTAATCTCCACAACTTCCCCGTGAGGGAGGTATTTCCATCTTACAAACGAGGAAACAGGCTCCGAGAAGTTAAATGATTTGTCCCGCTGTACTAGTAAGTGAACCAGCCAGGACTCGACCTGGGGACCCCGAACCCCAGACGCATGCTCTGGGCCATGGCTCCATGAAAGTGTGGTGCACTGGGACAGGGGGCTGCCAACTGTTTGTTACTGTTTGTGATTGGGTCAAAATAAGCTAATTTTAGAAACTGAGAGCAAGCTTTAAAAAAGTCTCACGGCAATTTGACAGAGTGATCTAATAATTTTTTAAAAACTGGCTTGGTTTCATGTTTCTCGACATGCGTTTTCTATTCTATTTTACAAAGATTTCAGTCTGCAACAGAGTCGGGGCATGGCATCCGGGCACGTCACCACAGCTGACTTGAGAAGTCATGGCCCAGACTGGCCTGCACTCTTGCTTTCGTGCAGGTGAGCGCTCAGAGCTGCTCCAGAAATGTCCTTGTACTTGAGAGTCAGCTGATCCCAAGCTCGATGAAACCTCAGTCTGAAGCCCAGAAATGCCCACAAGGCCCAGAAAAGCAAGCCTGCACTGCTGGCTGATCAGGAGAGCCTCAGTGAGAGGTGCTGCGGGCTCCTCATCTCTCCAACCCTCATGATGAGCCATCAAATAAAAGCAGGCAAGATCTGCAAGGTAACTCTGTCTTCAAAATGAGGCCTACGTTATCTGGCTACCTTTAAAAAGAAATGCTTAGGTTTATCTTGTACTCCCTCCCATTTACCTTTCCGTGGGGAGAGAGGGACAGAGAAAAATACAAGTGCCTACATTCCCTGTGCAGCTGGGCCCGATACAAGAAACTTCCAAACCCACCTGGCAGGCTGGTCCTGGCTAGGTGCAGGGAGTAAATGCATGTTAAACCTGCGGTAAACTTTTAGGTACAAGGAGCTCAGTGCCAAGTACCACTAGCCTCATTAAGTTCTTTAGTCTCAGAGAGAAAATCTGCATTATCTGCCTCCACCTTCGTCTCCTCCCTCCTTCACTGTGGGTTAGCAAAAACCCTGGTTTCAGGGTGGGGAGGTGGGGCAACATGGCATATGATCCAGCCTGTTCAGTCATCTGTAAAAAGATGCGAAGGGGATGCTTCTTTCCTTTGCCCCAAGGAGCTGGGCCAGTGTGTGGGCCCATCTCAGGTGGGTTTTGGGAGGCAAACACTGGACAATACAGAACTCATTCCTTTACACACACATACACATACACACACACACACACGGCATCACGTACTATTCTAATTGTGGGAATATGGTACAGCAGGGAATAAAACAGAGAAAGTCTATTCTCATGAAGCTGACATTCTAGTCAGGGGAAAGAAATGACAAACTATTTACAAGTAAATATACGATACGTTTTAAGTGGTGACCAGTGCTTTGAATGAACTAAAGTTGTAAGGGGGTGGAGAATGAGGAATGAGAATGGGGTGCTCATCTATACAGTGGATGCTCAGGGAAGGTCTGTCTAATAAGGTATCATTTGGGCAGAGACTTGAAGAAAATGAAATGAAGCACCAACATAGTCGGGTATCTGGGGAAGAGGGAAGAGGGAAGAGCCAGTGCAAAGACCCTGGGGAGGGAGGATCTTGGCCAGGAGGCCAGGGTGGCGGGAGCACGGTCCACAAGAGAAGAGTAGTAGGTGATGAAGCCAGATCATATATTGGATTTTGGGCTATGGGGAGGATTTTAGATTTCACTGAGTGAGCTGGGAAGCCATGGAGGATGGAGGGGTTATTGAGCAGATGAGTGACACAATCCAATTTGTGTTTGACATGGCCCTAGTTTGGGCTGAGTTGATAGGAGCGGAGATGGCAAAAGGAGCAAACTAAAACTTGGGATATTTTTAGAAGGTAGAACCAATAGGGGCTGAATGATAAGGGCAGAATGATGACAAGCCCTTCCCTTGAGGGAAGTTTCTGAATGGTTCTCCCTTTGCCTGGCTGTGGATTATCATGGGCACAGAGGCGGCCATGGTAAAAGGCAAAGGATCAGACTCCAATCCTGATGTTGGCTGCTTGAGATGCTGGTGGCCGGGCTGCTAGCCACATCTAGGAAGCCCATAGCCCCGAGCAAGTAGAAGGGTGACCACTTAAGCCAGACATATCTGAGCCCACTTCCTACAGGGTCCTGGGGCAGCCATGCACCAGCCCTGACTTCTGTGACGCCCCCAGGAGACAGAGCTGGAAGTCCTGCCTTCTCTCCCAGCCCTAGCAGGCATCTGCTCTGGGACCTTGAACCAGGCACTTTCTTTCCTGCTCTGGGAAGGAGGAGGATGGAGGGAGGGAGAAAGCAGTGTCCTGAAGAAACAAAAGGGTTGCCATTCACCGTTCAGAAAGCTCAAGGAAATCACGAATGCGAAGGGCTAGAGCAGAGTGAAACTGCACCTGTTTCCACGCCATGCACCTCGACCCGTGTGTCCCCGCCCGCCACAGGGCAGTCTCATGCGGCCGCAAAGGAGAACAGAGGAGTGTGCAGGCTCATTTCTTAAACAACTGGGACAATGAGAGAGAGACAGAGATCAGGAGATGCATGAGCTTTATTGCCTCACACACTCTTTTGAAGCAGTTGCCGAACAGTAATGCCCTAGCCTAAGGGGTTTCTAACTGTGTTCCGCAGGACCCCGGGATGCCAGGAGAAGCCCAGGGCCACTGCAGGGCTGAGGCCACCCCAGCACACCAACTTCACTCTGCTTGTATCTTCCATTTTCTACACTGAGACTTCCGGGGGCACTTTGAGAAAGAACAGCAGTTGTAAATGCAGAGCACTGTGGGCCAGGCAGGTGAAATGAATGAACGAATCGGGCCAGCTATAAAACACTGAGCTATATGACAATGTAGGGGACACATGCTGCCCACTTTGCTGCTACTTAGCTCCCCCTGATTGCTGCACTGCAGGAAGGGGGTGCGGAGGCACTAGGTCATCTGATTTTTCAAGAGAAACCAGAGATCCAGATTTGCGTATGATTGAGCCCACGTGCCAACCAAACCATACGTGCTGTGGGCCACCAGTTTGCCATCTCTGGCCTAGAAGTATCTGGCTTTCAGAGACAGTTTGGAGGAGGAGGAGGCCGGAATCTAGAAGGCAAACTCTTACCCGACCTCGCCCTTAGAGCCAGCTAGACTGGGATGCACCACACTTACTCAGCTCTGAAATACTTCCCACACAGGTGGCCAGGAGGGACTGCTCCAGGGTCCGGAGCTCCAGCTGAGCATAGGCATCGGCTCGCTCGTCGTGGCCCAGGGACCCACCGTTGTAAGGACTGAAGTACGCGGGGAGGGAGAGGACACCTGTGGGGAAACAGGTAGACAGGTAAGTTCAGGAAGGAAGCAAAGGGCCACAGGCCCAGCCCTGCAGCTTCTGGTAGAGCGGGGGGGCGGGGCGGTAGTCAGTGGGCAAATGTCAAAGCAGCACTGGAGGACATCTGAGTTCTACAGGAGCCAGAATGAGGAGCAGCCCTCTTGTAGACGTGGTTTCTTGGACCTGCGGAAGGAACTGGCCTACCTGAGCTTCTGGGTCATATAAGAACTCATCCATTCCTTCACTTCCTCATTCACTGACTATCGAGAGTGTCTCCCTCGGCCCAGGCCTTGTGTGACATTCAGGACGCTGGGATGACAAAGAGACCTGGCTTTGCCTTCACGGACCTCAGGGGATGTGAATGCCCACTGTGCCCACCTGAAGGGTGGAACCAACCCCCTCCGAGTCCTCCCACTGCCTCATGCTGTCCCCGTTCCCTCTTCCTGCCAAGAAAGGGACGAAGACAAACCACAGAGAAAGGGGATGCATCCCAGCCACTGGCCAAGTCCAATTAGTGTTTTTCATTAGCACTTCAGGGCCAGAGGGACAGAGCTGTCAGAATCAATCCCGGAGGGTGACAGCTTGTAAATTTGTGTGGCTTCTTAGAAAGCACCAGAAAAGCAAAATCGGACCGGCTTAAAATTACATGTTGGTTCTTAAGAGCCCATGGCCACAGAGATTCCCAGCCTTTGGTAACTGCCGTTTCTTCAGTCAATGCATCTTTGTCCCACAACCCCCTGAACTTTTTTTTTTTTTTAAAGAAAAATACCCACAGGAATTTAATTGGTCACTTTTGGGAAGATCTCTTAAAATTCCTTGAGATAGCTGGAGAACCCCTGGGATGTGGCCAAATCCGTGTGAGAATTCCCTACCCTGCACACAGAAATGTAATGAGGATGGCGACAGCCAGAGGTGAAGCAGAACAGTCAAGACAGGGCCTTGGAGCCGGAACGTTTGGGTTCCTGATTCTGGCTCCATCACTTAACCAGCGGTGTGATCTCGGGCCAGTGACTTCCCTTCTCCGTGCCTTGGATTCCTTGTGCCGTAGCTAAGGGTAAGACAAGCCCCTGGTTCGTAGTGAGGCCGTGAGGACGAACTGGGCTGTGGATGTCCATGCTTGCACCAGTGCATGCCTCCGAGGAAGGGCTCTGGAGCTGTTGCTGTTATTTCTGCTATGTGCTGGGAATGGAGGCTTAATTTACACCACGAATTTATTCTTTCTACAAGGTAGGCACTGCTGTCTCCAACTTAGATCTTGGGGGACTGACGTTCAGAGAGTTTGAATAACTTGTTCAACTTAGTGGCAGAGCTAGGAGCTGAGTCTGGATGTGGCAGGCTTTCAAATGGGTACACTTCTCCCCTCTTGGAAGCCCACATCCAAGGAGCACCCCACCAACGCTCACCTATGGCCCTCTTATCCCTGCCCGGTTCACCCAAGAAGCCCCCCACTGTGTTCCACGGCGGGGGGAGGGGAGAGGCAAACACACACAGCAGTCTTCTTCCTGCCCAGACCCTGGCGGTGTTCTCCGACGGCTCTGCTGACAGTCCGCCCTGCCCTCCTCACCTGGCCTCCCCCTGACCCAGCCTGCCTGCCTCCTCCACGCTGCCTCACTGCCCCCCGAGTCCCCCGTCACCCCTCCTGCATGGCGGTGGCCCCTCCCATCACATCTGGTGCCCACATGGCACAGCAGGGCATCAAAGCACTTCCTCAGAGCACTGTTTCCAGTGGGAGAAGGAGGAGGGCATGATGGGGTTCCCCCTGCCCCCTAGCCCTATGCCCCAAAGCAGAAACTCTCCCTGACGGCTGAGTATGCAAACACATTAGGAACAGCTGGCTCTGAGAATTAAAAGAAGTAAAACAAAAGAGAATTCACTCCCCTCCAACACACACACACACACACACGCACACACGCACCCTCCAACCCATACACACATGTGCACGTGCACACACACACACCCGCTCCAACCCATAGAGACATACACACATGCACACACGCTCCAACCCATAGACACACACGCATGCACGCTCCAACCCATACACACACACATGCACGTTCTAACCCATAGACACACACACACGCACACACACACACACATGCATGCATGCTCCAACCCATAGACACACACGCACGCACGTTCTAACCCATAGGCACACACACACGCATACACACACGCTCCAACCCATAGACAGCCCAAACATTTGGGAGAGTTTCCACACATCTACGGGTCCTGCGCCGGCTCTGCTCCCCTCCCTTCTTCATTATTAATCTACAGAAACAACGCTGGGGACATGTGGATCAAATTTACAGTGCTTAGGGCAAGGGAATGGGAAATTCAGCAGATTTGTCAAAGGGTTCCCAGAGAGAAAGATTACATCACTGGACCCAGTAACGGGAGCCGGCAGGTCCATTAATAACAGCTCCCACCTTCCTAGTCATCGCCCCCCACAGGGGCTTTCACTCAATACCGTGGCAAAAGTAATTATGAACCTATTATTAATAACAATCATTGATGGCACCACAGCTTTTGCCTAGTACCTTTTGCTTTGAAGAGACATTCAGCATTGAGCAACGTGTTCTTCCAGTGCGAGAGGCAGGGTAATGGCCACGTCCGGCTTTCACTGAGGGCTTCCTGTGTGCCGGGCACACACCATTCCCTTTAATCCACCAAGCTTCATGACGGACTCTGCACCCATCTCGCAGATGAGGAACCCGAGGCCCCCAGAAGACTAGCCTGAGGTTACTGAGGCGCAGACACTGAACTGGGGCTAGAATTTCAATCTCGCCACCTCGTCCTTTAAACAGCCCCAGGGGATTTGTGAGAAGAGGGCTTCCATTGTGTGTGGGCCTGGGGTTTGACAGGAAGAAAGAGAAACTAAGACCCAGAAATGGGACTTTCCTTTTAATGGTTCCCCGGGCACCTCTTGCCAAGGATCCCTGGAGGCCTCCCGTGGAAGTCTGCAGACGGAGGCTGTCCCCTTATTCCCTCGGATCTTTCCAGAATGCAGCTCCACAACTTGCGTTCCACATCTGCCCCTACGAAAGCCTTTTTTATGTCAATCTGAAATTCATATAAGCCTGCTCCTCACAGCTCTCAGTGGAGAAGGAATATCTTTATGTCCTCTCAACACTTCAGCGTCTTCTTTGCCCCACACACTCCCAGCTTTATGATAGGGGCTGCCCAGCACAAGGCCATTCTGGAAAAAGGGATTTAACACACACACACACACAGGCACACACACAACCAAAAGAAAAGAAAAAAAGAAAGAGCATCTCTTTTTTTCCTCCCATTTTTGTAAAATCCTTAGGAAAAATTATTTACTTCAGGGGCGCCTGGGTGGCTCAGTTGGTTAAGCGACTGCCTTCGGCTCAGGTCATGATCCTGGAGTCCCTGGATCGAGTCCCACATCGGGCTCCCTGCTTGGCAGGGAGCCTGCTTCTGCCTCTGACCCTCCCCCCTCTCATGTGCTCTCTCTCTCTGTCTCAAATAAATAAATAAAATCTTTTAAAAAAAATTATTTACTTCAGTCCTAATCAAAAAGCAAGCATGGTGGACTGTTTCCTTTGATGAGTTAATAAGGACATCCCTGATCAATCCCTGTAAACTCTGTGAAAGTGACAGAGAAAACCCTAATGCATCACTCCATTCCCGCGACGTGATCTACGGAGTCGGAAGCAGTGATCTTTTACCTCCCTCTTCTGTAATATGAGCAACTCTGTTCAACGTTCCCTTCGAATGTACTCTAGCTGCATGTGAAGCTCTGCATTTCTCAATCTATACACAGAACCGTCACCTTCCCTCACTCAATTTTGCTCAATCTGGTTGCCCAACTCCCGAATCTCGGAACTCATTATCTCATTCCCCAAAGCCACGGCTGTCTCCTCCCCCGTCCCCTCCTGAACATAGCGCCACATCCGCCCAGTTGCACAAGGACAGCCTGTGAGTCACCCTTATCAAGCCTCCCTCCCGTCCTCCACCTACCTGATCAATGGACCAACCGCAAGCCTCACTGCTTTGACCACTTGGGCGTCTCAGAACTCCGCCCCTGCCATGACCCCAGTCCAACCACTCTCTTCCCTCACCAGATACTCACCTGTCTCCTCCCACCAATCTTGTCCCAACCTTGCCGTCCCTTACTCTGATCAGTACTCTTACTTTGGCTTGGTACTCTTCAGTGACCCCCCACCTCCCCACAAAGGAAAATAACCTTTGCACAGGTAACAACGGATCATTTTCTTTCTCTGAAATTTAGGGATGAAAACAGTTCTACCGGTGCATGGGGGAAATCCCCAGCACCTCCCAGGAAATCAGCAGAGTCAAGAAGCCTACGCATATCTGATCCCTGTGGCTCCACGCTGTTTTGTGAGTTTGGTCCCTTGGCTCTGCGCCAGCCCTGGGTTTGGAAAAGCCACCCGCTTCCTGCCTAAGAGATTCTCCGCCAGTGCCCAAAGAGGGCGCCACTGAGCTAGGCGGGAAAGCCTCCGAGCCAGGCCTGGGAACCCCGCCTTCTTGCCCTCCCTCGCCAACCAGGAATCAGACCGGGTTTCAGTTCTCCGGGGTGTGAGCTCCTCCAAGCAAGCAGCAAAAGAGAAGCGATGGACTGCACGCCGGGTTGACAAACCAGACTTTCAGTGCGAAGGCTTTTCAGAAGCAGGGCTCAGGCCAAAGGCCAAATCCAGGGGGATTTCGTTCTCGTCTCTGTGAAACACTGGGGTAGAGTCGTGGCTTCTAGAATCTTCTCCAGCACCGGGACCCTACGCTCGGATGGGCCTGTCTATGTACTCTAGCACTGATGTGGAGCGCTCAAAACTTTCTCCTTGCTTTCATTCCACTAATGTCCTAAGTGTGAACAGCGGGAACAAACAGACCCTGTTACTACGATTTCCTATGATTTGATTTCCCCCACAGCTATCATACCTCCTACCCAATACACACACACACGCACAATTTTAAATGTAAAGAAGATGTCCTTTTTTGGTGAAAACTGGCT